ACCTCCATCACTAAATCGGCCTTGGTCGATTTCATATCTAGACAATTCACCATAGCTCGAGGCTCCATCCCTATGCTCTTGGGACCCTCACGAAGCTTCCACAAGCATCCAATCGAGGCTACCCCTCCTGGGCCAAGGTATTTAAAGTTAACCCACTGAGCTTCATTTGATTCTCCATGTTCATAGAGTTGATTTAAGGGTTGATTAACCATATGGATATGTGCTCCTAGTCAAGACGAGTTTATAGGAACAAACCACACTTGATTTGGTTAAGAATCGAATGACATATTAATATTTGAAAATGGACGGTTTGCGGGCTTGACTCATCGGGGACGATGACAACGCGTCATCTGATCGAGCGTGTATCGCTTGGACGGTCCTGATCGCGCTTAACGGAGTTGTGGTTCGAAAAGGAGGAGTTGACGCAGACAGTGGCACCCAATCCCGCGGCGACACACGTCTCTTCGACGCGTACGAGGCTGAGTAGGATAAGTAGGAAATTAGGCACATTTTCTTATTTATTTAAATAACCATAACTTCAAAAATTCATAACTTTGTATAGAAAAATCATAAAATTGAAATAAAAACATCATGTTGCTCAGTGAAGAGAGGAGAACAATGTGGAAATAATTTCATGCTCATTCGATGCTTTCATGCTCATTTGATGCATATATTATTTTTAATTATTTAAATGGTGTTTTCCTTATTTTGGATTCTCTATTTGCATAGACATTTCACCATGGCATGGGACCATGAGGCTTTTGATGTCTTTGTTGTTAGGCATCTCCTCTGATTTTTCTAAGGTTAGGGGGCATCTCATAGGGCACCTCTAACTAGAAATATCTAATTTTCAAGTTAATAGTCTTTATTTTGGTATAAAAAATTATAATAAATACTCATCAGAAAAATACATAACTTACTTTGGTAGGTTAATTGTGGTCAGAGGACTCTAGATAAAATATAAACTTGATTTAACTCATTAAAAATAAATGTAATTGTCATCAACCCTAAAAATGAGGAGAAAATTAATTTGGAGTAATTATAAATGTAAATGACATGAAAATTATTCTCCATTGTAATTTAATGTTAAGGGCTCTTCCCATAAAAATTTCAAGTCAATTGGAGTTAATTTGACCACTCAAATGGATTAATTAAGTGAAATCATATTTTTGGCATTAAAATAATTATAATAATTAAAATACAACTCAAAAAATTACAAAATTAGTTTTGAGAGCTCCTTATGACCAGAGGAACCTAAGAAAAATAAAATTTGAATTAAAATAAATTCTTTATTTTTAAGCTATTTTTGAGCATTTAAATTAATAAAATTAATTAAAAATCATAAAAATCACAAAATTATATAAACACACTAAAATAATTCATTTGGCTTCTTGATTACTTAGGAGCACTTCAAATAATTTTCCTAATGTTCTAACTCAAGATATTAATTTTAAAAGCTTAAAAAAAGAATTTAACGATGTCACTCTACATGAAAATTAAAACCTTTAGGATAGCCACAAAACTAAAACTAAAACCAGAATTAAAATCATTCAAGATAAAATTTACCGCCACAATAATCAAAACATAAGACAACTCAAAATTTAATCACAAACATCACAAAACAACAATTGCAACTAAACTTAGAGGTCTCTATTGGACGATCGGGAATCCCTCGGAGGAGGTGACCTACGGTTGCTAACGAGATTTCCCACGATCTAAATGAAAGTATGGAACTCATTAAGTTGAGTTTAATAAATTCATTTAGATTAAACAAATCCCATAGAAAAGAGTGGTACTGAAACGAGGGAACCGTATGATTCTAACTGGTATCGCTCTAATCAACTTTAACATGCCCCATAACATTTAAAGAACCATAACCATAGGGACATTTGATTTGACTTCATAACTTGACACATTAGAAAACTTAAACTCGCCACAACGAGGAGCTTGGAGCTAGCATCGTGGGCAGCACGGTCATCTTCAACTCATCTTCAACAACAAAACATGAACAAAACATGTCTTCATCTGCTAAATCATTCTTTAGAATTAATTAATAAATCTGTAGGAATTCGAGGATGTTTGCTTATGTAACATAAATCCTCAATTTATCTTTAGGCCTTTGTATTGTTCTGTTATACAATTTAAGCTCTAACCTGGTTTAGGATTCCGAGGTTGTCGTCTGTCACGACCTAAATCCTCACATATTCCAGGCTATTTGTGCGATCGTTTCACACGAATATAAGCCCTAATTAATAAAATTGGCAGGTTAAAATATTCACTAAATTCTAATCTCAAAAAATTGAAGCCAAACCATAGGATAATTTGGAATGTCAATGAGATTCTCCTCTGAATCTATGACATCTCCTAGTTCTTCCTCCTTTGATTTCTAAAATAAAATGTTCCAAACTTGAGTCATTCCCCTTTCACACATCTTTGTCCGATCTCGTTGAAATGTCATATCCTTTTGAATTCTTTGAAGATAATATCCTCTGATTTTTATCGAGAGCTTTCTTAGGTGACTTCGGTTATCTATGATGTAATTAACTATAGGGGCTTGCCCTTATAGGAAGCATTTCTGAACCCAGCTTAATATAAACCCTATTTAATTCTTTTTATTAAACAGATGATAATCTTTAGTTTATTTAATTGAGCATTCATAAGTAAATAATATATTTATCCCTCGGGATATGTACACTACTTACGGTATTAGACTCGTTTATTTAAACTACTGGGGATATGAGATCGGTTCGGTCTTATATTTTTAAAAATTTAAAATATTATTTTTTTTCTAAATTATATATATTAAATTAAATTAAAACGGTTGTTACGATATCCATCCTAGCAGCTAGCCGACAACTTAACAACTCTCAGCTTTTTGTGCCGACACGACTGAATAAACCACACAAGAAGTGTTGGTGCTTTGCCATTGCCCGGGATGCATGAGGTTGTTAGTGCTCTACCGCTACCCGATAAGGCACTATGTCAATTACTTCATGTAAGTGAGATCGATTCCTTGGTGTGGGAAGTCCCTATCTTGCTTGTTAGATTTTAATTTTTTCTAGCCCTCCTCAGATGTAGCTAACTCGCTGGACTTGGTAGAGGACTGACCTTTAAAAAACATTAGTACGGATCTGACAAGGTATTAGTAGTAGCTGCCCAGACACCAACAGGGAGTGAGGATGGCGTGGTTGACCTCCTAGGAATTCCTTGCTTGGCCCGCAGGGAAACAAATGAGGGAGAACAAATGTCCTCGAGGTCATACGAGATCGAGAACTCGTTCGTTCGTTCTATTGGGATTAATGGAGAAGAGAGATACACAATCTAGTTGCTCGTGTGGATAGAATGGAGAGGATGGAGGAGGAGATGACCACTTTTTGCTAGGAACTATCAGATGGCCAAGAGAATTGCCTTATACAACTAGCTCAAGATGTGACAGATCAGATGAAACAATTTAAGTTTGAGAGATAAGTTTTGTATAAGAGGTTACTTCAGACGGGACTTGTTTGAGTTGATGCATCAGATGATCACGTTGTAAAATATTTCCATCTGGACTAGCTTTCGAGCATAACTCTTAATATCTATTTTCATAATAAAATTTATTTTTTCATCTCAAATCCTGTGTTGATGTGATTTTTTCTATCAACGTGTTTTCAAAATTACTATACGATTTTTTTTTAACCTGTGCGATGGTTCCGCTTCTTTAGTTACCCTATATGTTTAAGGGTGAGGTTGAATTAACACTACATTTTGCAATCCTTTTCTCTTCACTCCCTCTGCTTTCTTTTATTTGTGCTCTCTATTGATGGCTCCAAAATACTCTATGAAAGCTTTTGGGTCAATCACCGTGGCCAAATGATCGATGACTACCCAAGGAGAAGTGGATCAGTTGCAGAACGCCTGCATTTACGATTCCTCCACCAAGCTTTAAGTTGACGGTGAGCATGACCAAGCGACCACTCCATATGGTCCCGGCCTCATCTTCTACAAGGACCAATTCAACATTGACTTTAGGTTGCTCAAGATCATCAATACTTCAAAAGTTCCTCTGTGTCATTGTGATGATAGGTGTGTTTAGTACCAATCCAAAAGGGAAGACAACTATGAGAGAAGATTTTTTTCTTGTTCCAGAAATAGGACTTCTGCAAATTGCAACTTCTTCCGTTGGATTGAAGATATTGATGAGTTCCCTCCAGACTGTGATCAGTCGAGGAGAGATGTTGACATGGAGAGTAGATTGTCCCGAAGACTTCATTATCCGTACTTCAAGACAAACATCATTCTAGGCTTGCTGATTACTGTGGTTGTTCCATTATTATAGTCATTTGCTTCAAATAACTTATCATTTTTTATTTATTATAATATTTTGTACTGTACTGTTAGTTTTTTTGGTAGTACGACCTCTTTCTGTTATTTAGTTCTGATTATCAGATACTTGAATATATTACATATATAAGGGCAAATAGTCATTCTCATCAGAAACAACAGTAACATAACATATCTCCATAATATACTGATGTTTTTTCATCAGCAACTTTTTAACAACTTCTAAAATGTTGGTTCTCCAAGAAACAGCTTGACAACAACTTGTTGAAAAAGGGTTAGCCGCCCCAAATGAGCCCTTACTGGGATAAATGCTTATTGTTGTTGGAAAAAAAAAATATTTGAAACGTGTCTTGAAGCTCAAATAGACTTAAAAATTCAAAATTGATCCTTTCGGCATGTATATATGATCAATGAAAGTTTTAAGATATAATTCAACTCTAAATTATGATAAAATTATTCAAATGCTACAATTAAAATTGGGATTAACTATTTGATATTCTTATGATTCTATGTGATGATAAACGTGAATATTAATAGGATGAATTATAATTTATTATATAAATATTAAAATACGAAACATTAGAATTTATTATTAAAATATTAAATAAAAGGCTAAGATTTTATTTTCCCGAATTATAATAATATATATTTTTCGGGTGATTAAGCCCTAAGATGTACCATCTGCCTCACTTTCCACACATCTACCCCCTCCTCTTCTGTATCATCGTATCGTCGTCGTCCCCGGTCGATTTTGTGACAATCGTGCCCTCTTTATAGGTCTCGATCTCTTCAGTCTGCCTTCTCAGTCGGCGTTGATATCTTTTCATCGAATCTCACAACTTTTCTCTTTTATACTTCGGAAACACGATCGCCGCTTGATATGCCCTTTACCACCTGAGATATCTATCGGAATCTTCTATCCTTACGGTGATTGTTCCTGCTGCACATCTCTTTTTATTTTAATTTTCCATTCTTGACCAATTATAAAAGTGGAATTTTTTTTCTTGGATTAGGGCATTGATTAGGGAATTAGTTGCGGCATATAGGGATGCCTCGTACAGTTTCTAGGTCACCTTCAAGCAGGCGATGGCGGTCGCCATCGCCGGGCGGCCATCGGTACAGCAGCAGCAGGAGAAGCAGACGGGATCGGAGTAGATCTCCATATTCATATAGGTGGACGAGCCTGTTAATTACAAATGCTCGTTTTTTTTGTTCCTTTTCTCTTATATTTTCTATATTCTTACTTCTCGTCACTTAATTGGTCAATATTTGTGTTTGTTTTACCATGTTTACTTCATTTTTGAATATTTGATTCAAGACACCATAATTTGAGTGCTGATTTGAACGCATGTTTTTGGTTACTATCGATGAATTGATTCATTAATAAGAGGCATTCACGTGAAAGAAGGCTCAATTTAATGCAGTTAAAGTTTGCAAATTTAGCTGTTTTTTCAACTTTACAAGCCATATATACTTGTTGAAGTCTTTCTTTATTATTACCGAGTTTGATTTTACTTCATTTTTACTGTTTTTTATGGTATATTTTACTAAACTAAGCTCAAGGAATCTATGCTTTCAATCTTGGCAATGAAAAGAGCAATTAGAACTCCCAGATATATATATATATATTGAATGGCAGTTTGCACTTGTATTATTGGACATGAGATAGGCTTGGTAGATAAAGGATGAGGAACCTGTTTGATTTGATGGAAAATAACATCTTTTACCTAAAGCTTCAATCATAATCTCATAATTGTGTTATTTGATGTTTGTTTTCCTTTTTTGTGGGACTTTTTTTTAGAAGTAAAAAATGAAACGAAGAAAGGTTCATTTTACAAAATTGTTTTACATTCAGCTAGTTCCCTTCGGGTTTATTGTGTGTTACTGATTCTGAAAAGACATGGTTTGGCTGCCTTCTGCTGCTGCTGATGGTGAATAAAGTTCTAAAAGTTACCATCTTTCAACTAGAAATTGATCCGGAACCTGAGCCAAAGGATAAGGGTTTCAGTAAGCATGGTCTTTTCCAATTCTTTTTTTTATTGTTAGATAACATGATTTCTTCTTGGGGCATTTACATACATACGACACAATTCTTATGAATTTGCATATCTAATACCTAAAGTTTAATTTTTTACATTTATAACAGTCAAATCTTTCATATCACATCAAAAATACCACTCACTAACTCTTAGAAAGTGTAATACACCTTTCTATGCATAGGTAAGTTGGTATAGATGTAAATATCAAAATTTTGGTGTTAGATATGTAAATGCATAGAAATTATGGGGCGTGCATGCAAATCTTCCTTTCTTATTTCCTATTCCTTTGAACTTGACATTGGTTTTGGTGTGCTTTGTTTCTTATGTCAATTGACAAATCTTTAAAACCTACTTGATATTTTCTGTAAAATTTATTTCTCAGTTTTTTTTTAATTTTTTTTTATTAGTTTTTATGGTAACCGTGTGGTGAAATTTGGTCGATGTGACTTTGCTACTGCATAATCCTTGCTTCCCTTTTATTTGCAATTTTATGCTATGTGACCTTTTTTAATCTGAGTTGCATAGGCAGCTGATTTCACTTGGTTTATCATGCACATAAACACACTGATGAATTCACAAAGTTCTTACATAATAATTTTAGAAATTTAAATCTATTATTTTCTTGATTGATTTGGAATTCAGGGTTTTCTTTGATTAGAGATCATGTATGCAAAGATTACTCTTAACAATGCTTGAGGTAACTGTGCATATTATATTATTGACTGTGTTGATAACTATTAAGCCAAGTTTTTCAAGCTTTTTATTTGATATTTTCTTATTACTATTAATTATATAATTGTTTATTATCAGGCGAAGAAGCCCATCTCCTTCATCAAGATGGCGCAAAAGTCGTTCGCCTACTCCTAGGAGGAGAAAAAGCCGTTCACCATCTCTTAGGAGACATAGAAGACAAAGAAGTAGGAGCACCACCCAGTCTCCTATTAAGAAGTCTCAAAGTCCGATTGCTCGGTCAATAGAGCTCACCAATTCCATTGAGAAACTAAGAAAGGAAGAAGAAGAAAAGAAAAGGTTTCTGATTTTCTCCTTAACCCTCTTGAGTCTCTTTTCATTATGGTGTATTACACTTGCATTCAATCATGATTATATTTCTTGTCTCTTATATTTTATTTCCTATTGTGATTCCCCTTCCGTATTGGGCAACGGAATAAATTTTTTCTCCTTTTTTTACATGAATCATATTTATTAACAAGGATTAATCATGTTACATGAAATGAAAATGTCAGCCTCCTTGCTGTTGTGAAATCCTTCCTGTTTTATGAAGCCCTATAATTTTCAAATTTTGAGCATATGATAATGTTTGGGCGGAGCATGAAGGAATTCATATTTTTGTGTTAATGAGCATATTGGTTTTCCTTTTTTTTTCCCTTCCCAACTGTTATGCATATAAGAATTGGATGTGTAGCAATACAGGAATGCATAACTTCTTTTTTAAATTGCATAATATTTAGAAGTTGTGAGATAATTTCATTTATAATGGGAGCTAACTTAAAGGTTTTGGGAAGAACAATATATTTTTTAACTTGAGATTTCAAAAAATTCATTTCATGAATAATCGTTTAGCATATGGTTTTTTTTTCCTTAAATTTATGTGCATCATATTCTATTGCCTTTTAATTTTGTTGTTGCAAGGTTCAATATTTTAATTAAATGATACAAGGCTACTAAAGTTTCAGCTGAACCAACCGACCTGTTCCCATAGATTTCAATTATTTGTGTATTTTGTGTATCTCAGTTTCTTTCTTTTCTTCTTCACATATCTTTCAAGATTTATTATACTTAAGCTTTGTTTGGGAATGCCGTTTGAAAGCAATCATACCACAGTTTTGATTTGTGTGGAAAACATAGAGAAGATAAATTTTGTTGATTATTGGTTGTTTGTTTTCTCACTGTTTTTTTATTGTCAATCAATTCGCATAATAAGTGAATGTGGCTCAGGTTCTTTCTTAACAAAAGCTAAGAAATTGACATGGACTTCTTTTTATCTGTCAAGCATGACTTTGTCAAAAATAGATGAATACAACAACAACAAACCTTTATCAATTTTTTTTCTCCATTGCATCCTATTTAGTGTCATATTTTCATTTAATTCTAATAAATTAAGATCATTTTTTGTATAATATACCTAAGTCTTTCTAGGTCTACCTATGCCTTTCTGAACATAAGTCAAATCTAAAACATCTACACTCCTATTCGGATCATCAGATGATCAACGTTTAATGTGACCGAACCATCTAAGACTACTCTCTCTAATTTTGTCCGCCTCTGGAGCTACACTAACCCTATCACGGATATATTAATTTCGCATTTTGTGTCTGAATAGATGAATGGGAATATTAAATTGTAATCTGGATCGTTGATTGATTAAAGTAGAAAGGAAATAACATGAACAAATATGTAAGCTTTCATTACACTTAGTGATTGAAAATGGATTAGAATGCTTTTCTTAACACTTATGGAGGTGAATGGCACTTAAAGTGATTTGTCTCAAAATTACATCAATTTAAAGATAGGGGCAAGTCGGTGATTTTCAAGTAAGGCGCTAACATCTTAAAAGTGCAAGAAATAGAATCCCAATGACACTGTTTTATGTAGCTTCCATTTTTTGACATTTGCAACAATCTCAACATAACATGCTAGAATTATTAAAAAGTTTTTATGTAAATTGTACGATTCTAGAAATATCACTCAATCAATGATGTCTTATAAATTAGAGTTTCTTAACATAAGGAAAACCTTTCATTTAAAGTAACAAATTAAAACAACTCGTTACACAAGTTATTACAAGTCAAATGACTGGAGTGGCAGCAATAATTTAAACTATTGTTACTGATATAATTATACTCTATATAAAAAATAAAAATAAAGTCAATTTTGAATGAACGTTTATCCTCTTTTGCAATAAAGGAGCAGAGCAAGAGGGCACCAGACATTAAAATTGGTCAAAAGAAAATGAGTACAGTGGATTTTTTTTTCCAAGTTTTGTGGAGAGTTTGACTGTACTGCCATCCTTATTCCCTCATCAGTTATTCCTTCAAATCCAATTGTTTTCCCTAGCTGTCTTTTCCTTTTCCTTTTTTTCCCATTAAATTTGCAACTAAATATTAAGCTATGATCCAAGAGCAGTTATTTTTGCATCGTGGTATGGTTTTGGTCTACAAGGCCCAAGCCAGTGTTTTGAACGCTTGAAAGAATATATCATTATATGTGGAAGGCCGAGTTGGTTTTAATTTATTGATTTTCTATATATCAGAGGATATCTAGCCTTTTTGTATTTTTCACTTTCCTTAGTCTGCAGATGCAAAGTAGGTACTAATCTTTTTAAAATGACATTAAAATTACGAAGATTTACATACATACCACTCAATTTTTATGGATTTACTTATCCAACGCTTAAATTTGTCAACTTACCTATGGATGAATAAGTGTATCACACTTTTTGTAAGTAAAAATAGTGGTAACTTTTATGCTATGTGAGGATTTGGCTGTTAAAAATGTAAAAAATGAAGTTTAGGTATTAGATATGTAAATACATAAGAAATTAGTGGTATATATGTAAATGATTTTTAAGACTAATGCATGTTGACTCGGTGTGCTCGTTGCTGAGATCCGTGCCTTTTTTTTTTTTTTTTTTTTGTGGGTTGACTGGGGCTTTTTTTGCTGCATGAACGTGTTATAATACTTGGAGGTCATGGTAACGTTACAGTTGGAATACAATTTTTTATTTATATTGGTAATTGGTACATTCAGACTCTTCTTAGTTATGCTTCAGCCTATTACATGAGCCTGGTTTTGTGATGTTCTTAATAATTTTTAGCAACTTTTACGATTTCCAGGACCACCTAAAGTACTATTCAGTAATCTGTTTCTGACCTAGACAGATTGCCCATCCTTGCTGCTCGTTTGGTTTCTCACTTATACCTAACGAGAGCACACACTATTTGGATATTCAAATCCAGCTGTGATCCTATATGAACCACCTTTGGTCAAACTCGCAATTATGAAGTAAAATTTGCTAGATGCCTGAGCTAGGCGAAGAGATCTCATGATTTTTTTCAAATATTTAGTTTTTTTTTTTTTTTTTGGTTATTCGTCCTTGTTTGGTGGCGGCGATGTTATCGCATTTTTAAACCTTTTAGGATATACATAGTTTAAGCTCTCTGTAATTACTTTTGATCAATTAGTGCTGCTTCTTGTAGCTTCATCACTTCAGGACTTGTTCTTGTAGCAATAGTGCACATTTTTGTTTCATTTTGGCTCCATTCCTTAGTCACAATACGGACCAAGCTATTAGAGCTTTAAAATTAACCATTAGTATGGTGAAAAAAGAGTGATAAAACATCCTTGTGTGTTTTCAAGTTTAGCTGGTATTTTGAATGTGTCAGAGCCATAATTGATGCAGGAATTAATTACATAATTAGTTTTAAACGTGGTACTGGTTACTTTGACATTCTTCTCCACAGGCTTTTTCTGAAGGAAGCTACTGCTGTAGTTCTACTTGTTATATTTGATGATCTATAAGGTGCCTGCTTTATCTACTGTGCACCAGTTTGAAATCTCATTTGTTTGGACCTCCACTCTTTTTTAAAGGTATGCCTTAAAAACATGAAGCTTTTTGTACATAAATATTGGGATTGGACTGAAAGGAAATGGTCTATTTCATCAACGTTTATGAAGAATTTGATGCTGCTTGCTAAATTTAGGCAACTTTGAGGCCTCAAAATCATTTATAGGTATTGACCTATCTAATGCTTTGTCGAAGAGCAGGCATTCGTATATAACATTCTATTTTTCTTTTTTTAACAGGCGTCAAAAAGAAGCAGAATTGAAACTGTTAGAAGAAGAAACTGCTCGAAGAGTCGAAGAAGCAATCAGAAAAAAGGTTGAAGAGATTCTGAACTCCGACGAGGTCAGATTGGAAGTAGAGAAAAGGATTATGGAAGGTCGGAAGAAGCTTATTGAGGAGGTTGACGCTCAACTTGACAGAGAAAAAGAGAATGCTCTTATTGAAGCTCGGAAAAAGGCGGTGTGTATTAATCTACACTTGTTTCAAGTCATTGTTTATTTCCTAACCTTATAGTCGATATTATTTTTCCTTCAACTTTTCCTAGAACTAATTTTTCTATATATTTACATTTCTTACACATAAAATTTAATTTTTATGTTTTTAACACTGGTGTGATAACCCTGTACATGAAAAGGTGTATTTCACTTTTGAAATGTCGATAATAGTCGTATTTTTTATGTTATATTAAAGATTTGATTGCAATTCATGTAATTATTAAAGTTTGGGTGTTCGACATATAAATAGATAAGAATTGAACGGTATGAATGTAAAAGCCCCTTTTTATTTATTTGTAGTGATAGTTTTGGGGAGCATTTTCTCAAGTTCAATGGGAAATTGCTTAATGTTTGCAATTACATGCTGTGGGAGTACACTAATGTTTGTTTCCTTTCAGATATTGAAATTTTTTTCTTTTATGCTGGAGTAGGCAAACATAAAGTATGACCATTACAGAAGACCAAAATGTGTTTGCCTTTTTTTCAACAGCAATATGGAACAAAATTTCTATAGCTTTTTTTCTTCACCCGAATACCTCCATTCTTAAATTAATTTATAGTATTTGAAAAAAAAATACTCGGTTAGTTGCAGTGTATGCTATTATTAAGGCAACTTTTCAGTAAATTGGCCGTTATGTCAATAGTTTTTATGCTTGCTGATCCTCAACTTCTTTTCTTGTCATTTGTTCTTTGAAATGCAGGAGCAAGAGCGCAGAGAAAGAGAAGAGTTGGATAAAATGTTGGAGGAGAACAGGAGGAAAGTTGAAGAATCTCAGAGGAGAGAAGCTCTAGAGCAGCAGCAGAAAGAGCTGGAGCGCTACCAAGAATTAGAACTGCTCCAAAGACAGAAGGAAGAAGCGCTGCGGAGGAAGAAACAGGAAGAGGAAGAAGAGAGGGCGAACCAGATGAAACTTTTGGGTAAAAATAAAGCTCGTCCTAAGCTCTCTTTTGCACTAGGCCTCAAGTAAGAAATAAAGCAGATGAAACCTTATTTGCAAAATTAAAATTTTTATGCTGAACAATGATTATGTAGTTTAGCCTTTTTTTGTTATTGCGCTCATGTATTGATGGAAAAAGTGGATTTACCTCTTTCTATTGGTCTGTATAATGTGGCATTCTCTGGTGTCATATTTCAATTAAGGGTCTATTTGGGACATTTTGTCTGTTTGTTTTACTTTTCAGACCTCCACCACACTTACTGCTTTTAAAAATTTCTATGATAGAAAGCTGTTTTTTCAACCTAACCTGTTAAAGTGTGGTGGCTATTAGAACGCTGTAGAGTAAATTTTTGAAAATAAAATAAATTTATAATGACCACCACTTTTTTGAAAGCAATTTCTTCTGCAGCAACTTGTGCTTCTTCAAACATGTGGAGCTGTCCCAAACAGTCCCTAAGTTGCTCTATTAGATTTACATACATGCCTAGTAAATTTTTATGGATTTTCATACCTTACTCTTGGACTTTAATTTTTACATAATGCCACATTACCTTTACATGAAATGGTTAACATTGTGGTATTTTTGTTGTGAGATGAAATATTTGTGTGGTAATAAATGTAGAAAGTGAAGTTTAGGGCTTGGATATGTAAATGTATAAGAATTTGATTGTATGTATGTAAAGAGAATATTGATGCTTGAAAAGCATGGGAGGAGTGAAGCCTCCAACCAATTTTTTTGGATATTTGGTTTCATAATAATTAAAAAAAACGTTTGGATATGTTATCTAAGTTTAATAGGAATGAATTTGAAGATTTTTTAGATTTGTTTTAAGATGGTTGTAATGTCTGAGTAATTAATTAAAATGTATATTACAATCATTTTGAAATAAAATTTTTAATTTTGAGGACATATCAAGCATGAAATTACTGCTATAGGGTTTAGCTAAGACCAGTGCATAGAAGACCCAAATGGGTTTCCATTGGTCCTTAGCTCATATATAATTATATTTGAGAAACATGCAAGTGATGCTCTCGATTATTGATAACATGTTTGTATTTTAATTTACTTGGTTAATTGTTAAAGAAGACTATATTCAAAGGTAATTATACAAATAAAATAATTTGTTTTGAAATCAATCCATAAGGCATAAAGTGAGCCGTTATTGATGGCTGGCTAATTTAATTTTATACCTCTTATTACTCATCCAAACAATAGAGAGAATAAGGTTTTATATTTAAAAATGGTTTGAAAAAGTTTTAAAATCAAGAAAAATATTTATTAAATTAATCAGAAGTTGATTAACCAATTTATTCAAGTAATCAGAAAAATTTTTATCTTAAAAACCCACATAAATGCATGAGTTCCAAGCAATTAACACAAATTAGAACATAAGAAAAAAAAACAATGAGAGAGAGTTGTAATTAATTATTAAGATGAAAAGAAATAATGTGTTCTTATGGAAAAATTATTCCATATGGCGTCTGTTCTCCACCATTAATCACAACAATTTAAAAAAAAAAAAAATCAAAATAGGGTCCATCGTTAAACATCTTTGCTGTGATGGACAGTGAAGATCGGACACCGTATGCATCTCAACAACTTTTCGTTCTAATGACATATAAATCAATAGTAGAGATTGTTGCAGTTAGGTTTTCTAAATGCTTTTGAAGATAAAAAAAAGGTTAATTGGGTTTTACTTATAGATCATATTTAATACATATGTAGGTAGGTACGTACGTACGTACCTACGTACGTACGTACGTATATACATACAGACAGACAGACATACAAATATATATATATATATATATAAAATTATATATAATTAATGTCTAACATTCTTGGGTCTGACATTAATTAATGGTTAATAAAATGAAATTAATGGCTAAGATACATACACACATACATACTCCTGGATCTCACATTTGTTCTCGATTAAAAAATATTTGCATGGACCTTATTATATATATAAAACATTTATAAACTAAAAGGTACATTTATAGACAAAAAAAAGTACTTGAAAGGACATCACATCACAATAAAAAAGTACAAATAAAACTAAATAATATCATCGCATCACATAGGATTTGTTTGTTACTAATGTTTAGGCTGTCCTTTTTAATATTTTTGATGCTCCAATTTGTCATGATGGAATTTCAATACAACATACATACTCGGCCATATATCTAATATCTCCAAGAAAAATATAACTTCATCATACTGGAAAATATAGTCAAAACAAATAGAAGCTAATCAGACATATTAAAACAGCATACAAAGGCAAAGCATATACACCATGAGGATTAAGTATTGACAAACCTAGCTACATAAGGTTTGCGATTTATCACAACATCAGAATGTGTGCAAAAATAGTCTCAGCACTATGAGGGTCGGCTCATATTTTTATGTGGCTACAAAACTAATTTGTGTAAAATAAACTAATTAAGCTAAGATTTATCATCATATTATTGGATTAAAGAAAGTCAACTTCTTAAGTAAAAATTGAAAGGCTTGAAAGATGTTTGAAAATAATATATATATATATATATATATATTGTTTTGTGCTAAATATGAGCAATCCTATTCTTTACCCCCTTCCAGGTGCATAAAGAAGATTGACTAATCCAGAGTTTGGTCACTTTTTGGCTTTATATATACACCAACATATTCAAAATAAATTTTAAGAGATTAATTGAAGTGAGTTTCTCCTGATTGTTTGTATATCTGAAAAAAAAAATATGATATAATTATGATAATCACTTAATAATAAAATTTAACGAGTTATGAATAGATCAAATTCTTGAATTAAGAGATATTTTGTCCTAACTTCCCCATAAATATTTAAATACACCACAATAAGGGGTGATAATTTAGAACAATTAGCAATGAATATTTATACTCCAGTTTTTATAAATATTTAAAAAAAAAAAAAACTATGGACAATAAGAAAGAACTCTACATATTCAGAAAACAAGATTAATCCGAATAATGATCATCTCAATGAAAAGAAAAGCCTTAATCTTGGTATGAGTACAAAATTTTTTAAAAAAAGTGATTTTTAATTATATTATATAGCCAAATAATGAAAGAGCTTAATCAAAATCTTATGACTAAATAGGGATAAAACTCAACTAAATATGATATGATTAACTTCAAAGGATTCCTTAAAGAATACATTGAGTTAAAGGGCAGTATAGACAATAAAGCATGACTTACACTGATAAATAACTTAGCTAAGATAGTATGAATAATTGAAGTTAAAATTATATATATATAT